AGTGTTTACCTTTGATAGCTTTACACTAATCAGTCAGTGTTTACCGTTGATAGAGTTTCATTTTCAGTCCATGTTACCTGTTTTAGCATTATAATTCATACTTATCAATTGATATCATAACATTCAGTGACTGTATACCTGTGTTAGAATTATGTTAAAGGCTGTGTGTATACCTGTGTTAGAATTATGTTAAAGGCTGTGTGTATACCTGTGTTAGAATTATGTTAAAGGCTATGTGTATACCTGTGTTAGAAGTGTATCTATTGCTGTGTGTATACCTGTATTAGTACGATGTAGTAAAGTAGTAATCATATTTATGTTTGTATGTATAAACATAAGTATAACCACAACATAAATATGTATACATCAGTTCTACATCACTTCATTATAAATCACTTAGGACAAATATCAGTGACATAGTAAAAATGTTCCTGCTAGCTCTGTGTTGATAATGTAAGTACCGTATTAAGAAATTTAGTAAATCATATATTCATTATTTGACTAAGAAAGCATCTAACTTTACAGATGAGTATTTTATGAAAAGCTTTACATTATCACTTTTATTTGTAAATATGTAATGACATGATCGTAATTTTGCTTTAAAAATAGTTAATATGTAACATGGGAAATACATTAATTTAAGATTTTTATTGCAATTATGTATACAATGTTAATATTGCTTTGTGGATAGAATATAGTGCCCTAGCTTTGAAACAATTTTGACCTTGAGCTTTTGTGTAAGTTTTGATCTTTGTGAACCAGGTACTCACACAAGAAGACTGGAACACTGTGCTGTATAATGGCATGGAGACAACCTCTGCCTGGGCATCACTTTACTTTATAGCTCTAATGACGTTTGGAAACTATGTCCTCTTCAACTTACTTGTGGCCATATTGGTGGAGGGTTTCTCTACAGACGTAAGTCATCTTCTGGCAATCAAAACTTGATCATGCTGTAATTTTAGCTCACCTGGCCTTCTTTCAAAGTCACAGAGGTCAGGTATGTTAAAATCTTCAAATGGCTTCTTCTAAAGAACCAAAAGGACTATTATCATGATATTTGGCTCATAGCTTCCTTGTGTGCATTGAACTAAACAAATAAAAAACTAGAAATTGTTGGCTAACAATTTGACGGGCTTTTCACTGTAAGTACTGATTTGGCCTTCTAATAATAACCTGTGCAAGTCTACAGTAGCTGGCTGAGTAGTGGGGGATTCCCCAAGTGCGAAATGACGTCATAGAAAGAATGGATAAATATAGGCAGCCAATGAGCTTAGTTGTATACGAAGGTAGTCCGTAAAAGTCGTCATATTATATAGTCCGTCCACTATGTACGTCAGGACGATTTATTGAAACTATCTTTGTGTCAGTATCGGTTGGGTTTGCCACATCAAAGAAAGGCTGATGTTTACCCACTGCAATAGAGGTGTAAACTGTCCACATTTTTAAGATTGGGAGTGCGTAGTAATCGATGTAGTATTACCAGTGTGTATTAGATGTCTTGATAAAAATAAAAGTACTGAGAGTACTGAAAGCACTTCACAATCGCACAAAAATGAAAACGGTTTTTGACTTTCACCTTTGAAATCATATTTAGAGTAGGTCAAGGTCATTCATTTGCACACACGTTAAAGCCCTTCATTCATGCATGCTTCTTTGCCAAACATCTTTTACCTGGAATAATTGGTTATTCAGAAATGGTGGTTTCAATATTTTTAGGTCACCTGAGACAAAGTCTCAAGTGGGTCGAATTGACTAAAATTTAAAAAATCTTCTTCTCAAGACCCAGATATGGTAGAATCAAATACTCTTCATAGATGGAAGGGTCTTAAGGTGCTTTACTGAAATTGTGAATTTCTTGACCATGGGGGCTCACGTTTCCCCCTGGGGAGGGGGTAAACTTTACTATAGTTTATATAGGGAAATCACATTTTGGACCAACATTTGTTTAATTTCCATTGGAAGTAATTCAATTTGGGTTAGCATTATCAGTATTAGGTAGCAGTTTGATAGTATG